TCCAGCACATCGACGTGCACCATCACATCGTGCGCGAGAGGGTCGTGCGTGGTGAGGTGAAGCTCAGCTATTGCACCACCGACGACATGGTGGCTGACATCCTAACCAAGGCACTGGGCGAGGTCAAGTTCGTGCGCTGCCGCACAGCGCTGGGCGTCACTTAGATCGCCAGAGGAGGGGGTGCTGAGGGTGTGTGAGCAGGCGCCCGAATGGGCAGGTCAATGCCCGAAGGGGCACCGTAGGCAGTGCGTATGGTGCTGTACGACACTGTTTTCCCTGTATATGTTTGTGCAGCAGCTCCAGACCGCATAGCCATCAGGCTGAAGGCTGGCAAGCTGTGCTTGTGTCTGCTGAGTGTTGAGCAGTTGGCCTGGACCGTGGACTGTTTAGGTAACTTGTCAGGTTATTGTGAGTAACAGCTGTGGCCTGTATATGACTGCCCATCAGACTTCTGTGAGCAACGGCTGGCAGGTTCTAGAGTACTGCCAGCTCGTCCATCAGGATAAGCTTTCCAAGCCTTTATAAGGCATTGCTGTCTGTGTGTGTGTGTTACATGGTTGGGGGTGCGTGACCCCATACCTGTAAGACTACCCATACGAGCCGAAGGCCCAAGGGCAATACTACAACGCCTAAAGGCCACGGAGAAAAGGAAAAACACCGCACATCAGCCCAGACTAGCGTCCAAAGGGGGTAATTGAGTTTCGGTGAGCCCACATACGTTCCAACATCCTCGCCAGACGTGCGGGTTCACATTGCATGGCCTCCAACATACTCTGTTGATGATCGAGTCCCTCTTCAGCACGAATATCATAATAGGCTGGGCATTCCAATAACACGTGTTTTTCATCCTCAATTCGGCTATTAGTTCCACAACAGTGGCAAAACCGCTGCCCCCTGGGGACATGGTACTTGCCCCTTCGTGCTCTGTTTGCCTCCAAAGCCCAGCAACATAAACGAAACTACATTAGCTTACGATTTGCTAAATAAACGAGGAATGAAAACCTTAGCATGTGTTGGCCACATGACGGCTGCGGCTCCCGAAAAGGGCAGCCCCATCCAGTGCTTATACTTCGCCATTTGCACTCCCGGTTGCTTCCAATCTGATGGGTACTCCTCTGGCAAGACAGTCAGATGCGTATGGTCCCAGCCACTCATCAAACGCTCTCTTAGTGCCGTTATTATCGCTCCTTCTGGTAGAGGTCTACTCAACAACCAGTCAACACGCTCCTTTACCCCCATGACTAACATTGAGATTCCCCAACCCTCCCATTCCGGGTTGGTCAGGGCATCGGTTATCTCCTGCCGTAAAACTGCATGAGCAGTGGATCCCACTTGCTTTTGAAGGCAGTTCCAGAAACGGAGAATCTGCTTCACCATGTAATATTGTAAGGGGAGTTCAGCCAGCTCCGCGTACAACAGCCTGTGGGATGGCCGTGCCGTCCCCACTACCTGCCTCATGAATAAAATCTGCAGCTGGACTGCACTATCCTTCAAACGGGCTTCGAACATGCCCTCCGCAAGGTTGGCTTTATCCCGCCGCCTTCCTGCCCTGTCCACGACCTCTGCCAGCGCAAAAGGGCCCCACGCCTGGCAGCCATACAACAGAATTGCTCGGACTTGGGTTGCAAAACACCGCATTCGCACATCGGGGGCAAACAGCTTCATTTTGTCCAGCTTTGCGCTTAAGGAAAACATAGCGGACCGACCTGTATCACACAACTGCTGACGGCACGCACTAAAAGGCCGTTCTGGCCCATATACCAAGCCCAGATAGCGAGCGCTATCTTTGGCAGGTACTACCTGGCCTGATAGCCGTAACTGTTGACATCTCCCGCTAAGTTCCGACTGCTGGGTGCCGTCACATGCAAAAACAAGCCTTTCACACTTTGAGACAATTGGTCGCATCCCAAAAGCTTCACAAAACAAGTCCACAAGATGTAGCAACTCAGACATTCGCTCTACTGACGTCGCTAGCAGACTAACATCGTCTGCATACAACAGTATGGAGACACGCTTGCTGTCCACAAGGGGTGCGTCATACTTACGTGCACCAGCTTCTACAAGGTCATGGGTATCAATCAGATCGGCTAGTGTCTCGATGAAGAGTCCAAACAACTCCGTAGATAAAGGACACCCTTGCTTCACTCCTTGCTGAGACTCAAACTCTCCCCCCACTTTCTCATTTACCTTCATCACCATGGACACCTTCTCATACGCTTTTCTCAGAGCACCTAGCATGGGGCCGCTAATCCCCCTCTCCTGCAACCGAAGCCACATGTGCTCGCGAGGCACCCTATCAAAGGCCTTCTCAAAGTCAATCTGTACTATTATCAACGGCGGTTGTCCCGCGATCCGATGCCGCCTGACCAGGTGTTGCTTGACAAAGAGGTGGTGAGCAGTGCCAAAACCCCGCCTGAAACCCGCTTGGCATGGGTGCCGCAGGTCCAGTATTTCCCCAGCACATACCAGGCGGTTAAGGATCACTGACGCATAGCATTTCGCAAGTGCTCCTCCAACTGCAATGCCCCGATAATTTCCTGCCACCAACGGGTCACCCTTCTTCAAAATAGGGGATACCACCGTTTTGGTAAACTGCTGTGAAAATCACCAGTTGCCCTGATGTGCTCTAACAAAACGTGCAGCACTGGGACGATACAGTTCACCTCCGTTCCCTGCCTGCCCTGCTCATCCACCCGTGGGAGGCGTGCATAACGGTAACATTCCGATGGTATGGCCTCAAGCCCGTGAGCCTTACCGTTTGGTAACCTACCGACAGCCCGTGCTACCTCCTCCAAGGTGAAAGGCTCGTCTAGGATGCTCCTGCCCGTGCTCTCCTGTCCATGACAGTCCGACATGCTTGCCAAGCACCCTCTCCCAAAGGGGCCCCAAAAAAGGAGATATAGTTAAGGAGTCGATGTGCACCTTCAACACCCGTCTCCCCAACTCCTGCATTTAACAAGGTGGCAAAATGATCCCGAAATACATGCAAGTCGTCAATCGCGCAACGCTCCTTGAGTTGCCCTCCCAAGGCCCGCCATAGTGCGCGCTGATCGTGCCTGCACCTAACCACGAACTCACGCATTCTCTCTGCATCATATGCTGCTCGGGCACGACGTTTGGCACGGTTCATTGCGTTACGTGCCTTGCAGAACGCTTCCCACAAGGGGCCTGACTTATTCTGGACCCTGCCAGGGCCAAGCCGCACCCTGCAGGCAAGCATGTGTTGCCGGACGCTTTGGCATTCCTCGTTCCACCATAATGCACCACCCCCCGCTTGCATACCCTCAGGCCTGCGACCCGCAAATACTCGAATCAGCACCTTCCGCAGGAGGGTACTAATGCGCTCCACTGACTCCGTGCTGTTGCAGACCCCATTCGATAGGTCCGTGATCACCCCATTTAGTGCCTGCATGACCTGGGATCCATCAGTGAACAGAGCAGCATAGTCACGATAACGGGAAATCTCAAACACTGCTCGCTTCTTTTGGCAGCACCCTTTGGCACTCGTCCCAGTTCCTCCTACAGCTAGGCCAAGCACTAGCGTCACTGGACGGTGGTCAGTCGGGAACCAACCATCTGGCGTGAGCAGCTCGCCCACTCGCATCCAATAGGCATGACGGAGAACACCGGCCGAACCTACGAAAAGATCAATCATGCTCCCACCTGCTTCACCCTTGGGGAAGGTCAGACGACCCTCTAAATCCCCAGAAACATGGCCATTTAATACCAGCAGCCCTTGTGATTGGCACAGGGCGCCCAACTGTTGCCCAGCGAAATTGCAGACGAGGTCTTCACTCCTACGTCCGGGCACGTCTGTGTAGCCCTGAGGGTCCGCGTCCCCCGGCAAGCCCATGAACTCCTGCAGTGCTGTCAGTTGGTCTAAATCTGGAACATCACTAACATACCCGGGCAGGTCAGCAGGCGAGGACCGGTGCTTTGTATGCTGTGCACTAGATATACGGGCATTTAGATCACCTGCAAGCATCACATCCTCCCCCGGCTGCCGGAGCTCAGAAATATCTTGTTGGACTCCCGCGAAAGCAGCTTCTGCTGCTGCTGCCCGCTGTGCGTTAGTTGCACCTCCGGCTGGGTACACTCTGGAAGTTTCAGGTGCAAGGTAACAGGCCCCCACCAGGAGGCTGTTTCCTGACAGAAGGTTGACACGTATCCACAGGACCTCACAGCCTGCAAAACTGTTGTTTTTCCGGACAATGGTAAACCC